CGCTGATTAGGTAATGATTGATACCCCCGCCCGCCCACCCGCGCTGTTACATTTCGCCTGCCCCGATGGTCGTGGTGCGATGCTGAAGCACAGTCGGCTACGTACGCGCGAAAGAAGTCCAACGTGCGTGATGCACAAGTCGGCTGGATTTGCCCGTGCATTCCAGCCGATCACAAAGCTCGATTTAAAGCTTTCGTGAGTGCAGGGATTCATCTTGTTGGTTCTTTCGGTAAAGTCACGTAGAAGGAAAATAATCAAATAATAATAATATAACGTAATAAATAATATTTTTATTATTTTATTATTTTCCTTCTACGTGACTTTACCGAAAGAACCAAGAAGATAAAAGATCACAAAGTTGTCAATGACGTCAAGCACCTGGGGGGAGGGGGGGTCAGATATTTGTGACGATGTGTGACGAGGGGAGGGGGGCGTTTGAGAAACGTGACGTCACATCAAAATGCGCAACTTTAAATAAATATAGACAACACGTTTGACTTAATTAAATCGACTTTTTAACAAATGTTTTCTCCTACAACATCAGAGTGCAGCGCCACATTAAATACGCACTACAATGACAATAGTTTAAAGCGATTTGAAGCATGTTTTATTTTTTTTGGGGGGGGGGGGGGCAGAGCTTTGTGACGTCATATTTTGAGGGGGGTCTGACTTTTTGTGACGCCGTGTGACGAAGGGGGGGGGGGGTAAAAAATCGTCCAAAATCGCGTGACGTCATTTATGGACGGCCCCTTACCCCGTAGTCCTGTACAGGGACATTGAGTTTTCAGGTCCATACTGCGTACAGCCGTTTCTATACGGGCAAAACATTAAATATCTCTATTTTTTGTGTTTCTCCCGTCTGAAAGGAACGTTGTAGGATGAACGTTGAGATTTATACGGGCCACGGCGTGACCCAATAAGGTCTGAATCGGTCTGTAACAAGGTCGGGCACTGATAAGGGGTTGACGGGTACGCGATCCCGTAACATCCGGGTGATCAGAAATCCTCGGATTCATAACACGTGCACGGCTTGCATATGTATACAGTGCTGGTTTTCTAAATGATTTTAAAAGTATACAGTAGATGTGTGCCACCGCAGTAGTGCGTGGCAAAAGCTTAGAGAGAGAGATAGAAAAAGTTTCCAACGCGCAATCCTGATCCGGCATACCACACGAGGATTCAAGGCGGTTAAGAAAAAAATTCGTGTTACCACAGCAGAATTTGAGAAATATGTCTTCGTTTAGTTTTGTGTGCCCAGTAGTGCAGTGAGTGGTTCGTGGAGTTGGCACAGTAGAAGGTACAGCTTGGTGTGCATCGACCGGTCATCTCAGTCAGCTGACCCATGGCACCTGATGGGTCTGTCCCGATACCTCCTGCACCTAGCCTGACACAGTAGGGGGGTACAGCTGGTGGTGCATCTACCGGTCATCTCAGTCAGCAGACCCATGGCACCTGCTGGGTCTGTCCCGTGAACTCCTGCACCTCGCCTGGCACAGTAGGGGGTACAGCTGGTGGTGCATCTACTGGTAATCTCAGTCAGCCGACCCACGGCACCTGCTCGGTCTGTCCCGTGAACTCCTGCACATAGCATGGCACAGTAGGGGGTACAGCTGGTGGTGCCTCTACCGGTCATCTCAGTCAGCAGACCCATGGCACCTGCTGGGTCTGTCCAGGGACCTCCCTGTCAGCAGCGAGCCTTCAACACTTCACGTGGCAGCCTCAAAGTGCACCTAGCCTGGCACAGGCGTCGTGGTGGATGACGTCGCCGTCACCTAGTGGCGAATGGCGGTTGTATTCGTAGTGGTTTTTGCACTGCGCTATGAAACCCAGCCACCCGAGTTCGATTCCCGCTCATGGCCAACACCAGTGACGATTATTTGAACCGGTCCTGGGCCTCCCCTAGGTCGACTCAGCCTCGAATGAGTACCTGGTGCGGTGTAAACAACATCGCCACTAGGGAGACAAAGGCGGTCGGGCGTGGTGCTGGCCACCCACCCCGTCGTGTGCCGTGCCGGCCTTCATAGGCGGTGCTACTCGCTAACAGCACTTGCCCCAACGTCTGTTACAGGCTATACGGGGGGCGGGGATCTTTGCCTTGTGGCCATGGGTGACCGGATTGAGAGCATCAACCCGCCACACCTGAAAAACCGGTTTTCATCGCGGGCTGGCGAAACCCGGACGCGAACCCAAAGCGTCGGTCTAGTGGCGCCGACTCAAGGAATCTGACCTCGAATTAGCTCCCAGAAACCCACGCGATCACCTCCCAGGCGACTTGGGTTCCACGTTTCGGATTTATCCAAGGCTACTTTCCCCCTCCCCGAAACACCTCTTTTTTTTCTGGATATTCTTGAGCGTCGTAGAAGTTTATAAGTTTCGATTTAAAGCTTTCGTGACTGCAGGGAATCATCTTCTTGGTTCTTTCGGTAAAGTCACGTAGAAGGGAAGTAATCAAATAATAAAAATAAAACATAATAAAATAATTCTCACGACGTTTCGGCCACAACGCAAGCAGCCGTCCTCAGGTGAAAAACGAATTAGCACTATTCGCATTCCTGCATTTCCCATAAATATGCTAAATTCCTCTTCAAATGCAAATTCTTTTGTCAAGGCTCTCTTCCTCCTCCCTCACAGCTTAAATAGACACTCCAAGCCTAAGACGTGTCATTTAGACTCTGTCTTATCGACAGACATGTTCTTCACCTGAGGACGGCTGCTTGCGTTGTGGCCGAAACGTCGTGAGAATTATTTTAATATGTTTTATTTTTATTATTTTATTACTTCCCTTCTACGTGACTTTACCGAAAGAACCAAGAAGAAGTTTATAAGTGTGTCGTTTGTCCTTTCCACACGCGAGAGATAAACGCGTGCTGTTACACGCATTATCTGGCTGCGTGTTCGTCGGCTCGGCCTCAAACGGGTACCTGGTGCGGTGTTGCAGAGTAATTATCACCACGCAGGAGACAAAGGCGACCGGGCGAGGTGTTGGCCACCCACCCACCCCCTCGTGTGCCGTGCCGGCCTTCATAGGTGCTCGCTAACAGCACTTGCCCCAAGTTCGTTCAGGCTTATACGGTGGGGGTGGGGGGGATGTGTCACAGTGGGGAATTTTATCCGCTTTGCGTATCTCATTCCGGGGGATAGAGAGAAAAAAAGGTAAACATGAGTTCTTATAAGGAAGTTGCTGCTTCTACATATTTCTGTTGGCTGCCACGTTCAGAGTAACGACGTAACAATGAAGCGTATCGCTCGAGAGAGGGAAGGGGAGTCCATCCCGACAACGTCGACTGCTAGAAACTTTGTTTTGAGACTCGGGCGGCTTCGGGGGGTCCTCTTATTCAAATATTTGTGGCTCCATTTGGCCCTAATTCTACAACGCGAACCCGCTGAACGTGTTTACTCGTCCGCTCGTCGTTGCTGTGTGTGTGCCCGACGTCGAACACAAAATAGAAGAAGACAAAAAAAATAACCGGTAAAAACAAAGTTTTTAACTATAAATCCTTTATATGCGTGGCGGCTAGAGTCCTCTCGTCCTCTGGCTTGAGATGGCTGCCACCTATGGGTCAGATGATTGTCTGCCACCATTAAGCAATTGGTAAATAAATATTTTTAAAAAATTTCCCTAAAAAGTGAACATTTTTGGAAAAAATTTTCACGAAAATAAATTGTCACACACAACGAGTCTGTGTGCAAAATGTCAGCTCGATTGGATCACTGGAAGTGGGTTAAAAAAAACGACCGAAAGATTTGCACGGTCGTAAGCGCGCAAGCACGCAAGCAAGCAAGTGAACTTAATATAAAGGATTTGATAAAAAGCTATCCCTCGTAGAATATCGCTTTGTGGTTGTTGTTTTTAAAATATTTATTACGAACAAAAAAAGCGTTGCACCGCGGGCGACGGGTGGCAGGAACGCAATCCCCAACAAGTGTTTTCGCTTTGCTTCGTGGTTTCAATTCGTTTTTTGTTTGCATATTTTGGTTGGGGGGGGTGGAATTCTTCAAAACCTCATGAGGGTCACAGATTTGGCTGGGTCTGAATGTCTCTCTACCCACCAACGATCCACAACCCCCACCCCCGTAGCATGAACAGCCCAGCAAGCGCTCATTAAAGAGCACCTATCTACGAAGGCCGGAACGACACACGAAGCGGGGTGAGTGGGTGGCCAGGACTACGCCCGGCCGCCTTTGTCTCCCTCGTGCCGATGTCTACACAGCGTACCAGTGGGGGGGGGGGGAGTCCCAGGACCGGTTCAAAATTAACGTCACCGGTGCTGCCAGCGAGCGGGAATCGAACTCGTGTAGGCGGCAGCGCGCTGACCGCTACACCCCCCACCCCTACCCACCACCCTACCCACCACCCCTACCCGCCACCCCTACCGACCACCCCTACCCACCACCCTACCCACCACCCCTACCCACCACCCCTACCCCCCTAGTAGGGGGGTAGGGGTGGTGGATAGGGGTAGGGGGCCCCTAACCCTACCCACCATCCTACCCACCACCCTACCCACCACCCCTACCCGCCACCCCTACCCACCACCCTACCCGCCACCCCTACCCACCACCCCTACCCGCCACCCCTACCCACCACCCCTACCCACCTACCCCTACTCGCCACCCCTACCCGCCACCCCTACCCGCCACCCCTATCCACCACCCCTACTCGCCACCCCTACCCACCACCCCTACCCACCACCCCTACCCACCCACCATCATGCGCCACAATCCCCTCCGTGCCAGGGACACAAGACGTGCCCGCGTCTCGAGTACAGTGCAGCTGGCGACCCCGGGCGCGTTTGGTGGAACGCAGCCCGCAACCCCGACGCCGCCGACAGCCGCCGCTCGTTCACGTGATTGTGCATCGCCCATTGCCCATTGCGTGCCCTCAAAGGAGCAGCCCCAACGGCCCTTGGCCACGCTTCCTCATTTCCACCACTCCCCCCCCCCCACCACCATCATCACCACCCCCATACGCACGCAACGGGCTGTCGGCCAGCAGCCACCCGCGCTCATAGCACGACGACGAGGAACGGAGTCCTTCGCTTCTCGCGCGCGCGCGCGCGACGTGTTTCGCGTGGGGCGTCAGTGACGACCCCGGCGTTCCACAGCTCCGCGGGTTGTGCCGTCGTGGTGAAGGGCGGCTCTGTAACGAAGTCAATCGCCGAGCAGCTCGCTGCTTGCCCTGGTTGGGCGCGATCGGCGACGACGGGAGCGAAGGTGGCGCACGGGCTGTGTTTCATCTTGCCGCGTGCGTCGGCGATGCTATGGCAGGAGCCCGGAGCATGCTGCTCGACTGGACGTGCGACTGTCAGTGGATATTGGGTCTTATCCGCAAGACGCTATCGCCCAGGTAAAACAAAAAAGTGGTTATTGGAGCCGTTGCTCCCCCCTACCTCCTCCCTCCCTCCTTCCCTAAAGATTGCTTATCGGCGACCACCTTGGGTGGAAAATGCTAACAGAGTTTTTCTTGGACAATTTTATCGTCGGTTCACGAATGTGCGTGGTAGCAAAGTGAGTTGCGGTCGCTATGTATGAGAGAGGCGTTGTGAAATGTTGGTGTTTAATAGAGAAATAGATTTTTTTTGGAACTCTAAACGAAAACATGAATTGATTACGAAACGTTTATGGAATATGAAAATAAATAGGACATGTTTACGTGAAACAAAGCTTCGTCTTAAGGTGGACACAGCCGAGGGGTATATCCTCCGATTAGCACGGTTGGCTACGTACCGTGCGAAAGAAATTCAGCACACGTACTGGTGGAATTTACCATCCCAGGTGGTACAGACCAACCCTGTTGCCTCATGGGATAAAGGTGCTGGCAGCAGCTGCAAGACACATAAGAACCTCCTGCTGTGTTCGTGTCTTCAGTTACAAGTTAGCTCGTGACCTAGGCAGAACCTAGACCTGTAAGGTGGCTACCCGGTCAAAGATAAATTCATTCCATTTTCACCTTTGTTGTAAATAAGTGCAGTTTTCGTGTGTTCAGTCGTTAAACTCGGGGGCCATTTATGTCAGCGTAGAATTGTCTTATTTTCCTTATGTATATTTATATATGTATTCGGCCTGTGGCCACAGCATCTGTAATGCGCCGGTCTTCTCAAAACCTCCACTTCCATGCCTCTGCTCCCCAACTTGACCGAAGTGCACAGACCAACGTGAAATATGATCAGACAATCCTCGTGTTTGGCTTGGTGTGTGGGGAAAGCTTCGTCCAGCAGTGGATTGGCAAAATGCTGTAAAATATTTGTGATTTGTTCACTCTCTTTTAACAAAAACATGTTAATGCCCATGGCCTTGCGGAACCGCGGCGTTTGCCGCTCATTCGCAGATGGTTCACAGTTAACTACTGTGGGTGTGTAATTTAGCCAGAAATAAGTATAACCAGTAAAAACAAAGTTTTTCACTATAAATCCTTTATATGCGTGGCGGCTAGAGTCCTCTCGTCCTCTGGCTTGAGATGGCTGCCACCTATGGGTCAGATGATTTCATGGCAGCATTAACCAATTGGTAATTAAATATAATATTTTTGTCCTAAAAAGTGTAAAATTTTTGGAAAAAAAATTCACGAACATTAATTGACACGCAGAACGAGTCTGCGTGCAAAATGTCAGCTCGATTGGATCACGGGAAGTGGGTTAAAAAACGACCGAAAGATTTGCACGGTCCTAAGCAAGCAAGCGAACTTAATATAAAGGATTTTAAAAAAGGATACGCGATGTTTGCTTCGCAGTGGATGTTAAAGATGCCGCGAGATTATTCGCAAGAGTAGAGTGGGGCCATCGCGTGCCCACGTCGTGGTCCAAATGTACCAATGTAACTTAAATAAAATGTGCTGAATTTGAAACATAGCGAGCAAATCAGCGTTCTCAGCACATTGTGAAACCTTGGCAGGATCCTCCTGAAAAAAACGCAGGGTCAAGAGACTCAGTGAGGACTTTCATGGGTAAACAATCATGATTACTTTAAAATGAATGATAACACAAACGATGTCACCGTTTCGATTTAAGGCTTTCGTGACTGCAGGGATTCATCTTATTGGTTCTTTCGGTAAAGTCACGTAGAATGGAAATAATAAAATAATAAAAATTAAACATAATAAAATTATTCTCACGACGTTTCGGCCACAACACAAGCAGCCGTCCTCAGGTGAAGAACAGGTCTGTCAGAAAGACAGCGCCTGGTGGTGTTCATTCAGACGCTGTCTTTCTGACAGACCTGTTCTTCACCTGAGGACGGCTGCTTGCGTTGTGGCCGAAACATCATGAGAATTATTTTATGTTTTATTTTTATTATTTTATTATTTCCATTCTACGTGACTTTACCGAAAGAACCAAGAAGATGTCACCGTTTTGAATTCATTTGGGAAGGGTGGGGAGGGAGGTCGTGGGTGCGGGCCAGGGATTATTTGGTTGCTCATGGAAAGAACCGGGGGGGAGGGGGGGTGGGTTGTGAATGTTGATGTAATCCAGGAAGCTGTTTATTAGGCGTTCTACAGAGAGGCCATGTGAGTGAGTGGGAACATCACCAGCGCTCCTACAATTCTCTACTACGGCGTTTTCCTAAACCTTGCATAGGAATTAATAAAACCCCTAGAATTCGTTCAAAGCAGTGTTCTTCAATGTCCTTTAGTGCGTCTATAATACACAAATAGTGAAAACAACTCCCCCCCCCCCCCCCCATCATCATGCTGTCAAACCCCCAATGGTTTCAAACGTGTAGCGGCCCTTCTCACACTGACGATGTTTTATCGGCAAATGTGCCCCCCCCCACCTCGCCTCTGAAAATTAGTGAAGAACACTTCTCTAGCAAGTCAAGTCAGCTTTATTGATCACATATCCGTGCATACACATGTGGTACATGGCAGTGAGATGCTTTGCTCCCGTATCGCTCTCTCAGCTTGTGCAAATTAACAACAGCAATGTAAACAGCAGCAGTAATATTTAAAAATATATTAAAATGTAATAAAAAAAAAGCTAAGTAAAATCGCTGTGCAGATGATAAAAGTGACATGTGCATAGCAGAAGTGGGGTCCCCTGCGGGTGAGCTTTATAAATGATCTTGTTATGCAAAATGTTGCTATTTGGTTAATGTCTAGTGCAGTCGGTGATGGGGTGGGGTGGGATGTGAATGGGGGGTAGGGGGGAGCAAAATCTGGGGTTGGTGTGGTTTGGGCAAATATTGTGCGGGGCTCAGCTCAGCATCCTGGGGATAGAAGCTGTCTTTGAGGCGGTTGGTGGTAGCCGCAATGCTGATGTAGCCGGAGCTTTCTCTTGGATTGTTTCCTGATGAAAAGTTCGTGGCCCGGGTGGCTGGAATCGGCGATGATCTTTTGGACCTTAGCTATGCGCCTCTTGGTGTCGCGATCTCTCAGGGTGAGCTGCACGCCGCCTGTGAGCCGCTGGGTGGGGCAGCGTCACCCTCTGAAGCCTCTGCCGGTCTCGTTCGGTGCAGTTAACGTACCAGGTGGCGAAACCAACTCCACAGAGGTCTGTACAGGGAGGTCCAGATGTCTTGTGACCACCATGTAATGCTCTAAAACTTTATTTTTTTTGTAAGTAAGCTTTATTTCAAACAGAAATGAATGTGCAAAGTGGAAAAAAAATGGTCATTCGACATCTGGACCACTCTGTACAGTATTCCCTCAATATTCGCGAGGGGTACGTTCCGAAACTCGTGAATAGCAAATTTTGCGGATTAATGATCGGGTATTGAACTACTAAAAAACGATCTTTTTCACGAATTACCTGAATTAAATACGTAAATAAACGATTAAATACGTGAAAATTATCCCATCACTTTACTTCTCTGTCGGTGTGGCTGTGTGGAGTTCCAGATGCCATTCACGGATAGCCGCCGTCGCGGTCAGCAAGTTCGTGAATAACGAGGGCATACCGAGCCTCCTGCCACGTTCCTCCCATCACACACCGGGACCCCACTTCCCTTTGTGGCTCTAATTAGGCCCGCTAATTTGCATAATGCCCAGCCAGGTGGCCTGGCGGAAGAGCAGGCGACTCACAGTCGAAAGGCTGCCAATTCAAATCCTTGCTTGGGGGAGGGCGGGAGGGGTTGAGTCAACTCGGCACCATCATCATCATCATCCCTTCCCTCCGAGGTCGATAAAATCAGCAACACTTTTGTGGAGAAGTCCACGGCTGCTTGTGCTATGTCGAGATGCACCCGCCGCCACCGTAGGAATGTGGAATTTTCACGGCTGACTCGGGGCTGTGAACAGGGTGATGAGAACTGCCTCAATGTGCATTTTATACTTTGAACGTTTATTTGATTTTTGAAGAAAAGTTGTTTGGGAAATTTATAGGATGAAACTCAACTTTAATTTGCCCTCCCGTTCACTGACCCCCCCCCCCTCTCTGTCCACCCACAAGTATACATTGGGCAGACCACAGCCGTTTGGCATGTGATGTGTGGTGGGGTAAAGTGTGGGTTCTCCCACCTCTGTCTGGCCAATGTGGAAGAGGTCAGTGAAATGCCCTCCAGAGAGGGCTGCCTGAAGCCCCCTCTGGTGGCAGCTGTTCTGCAGGCAAGCAATTGCAGGGCTGCACCTTTATCTTTTTTTTCTTGCTTGTGTTTTTTTTATTACCTTTTTTAATTGTGAACAGGCCGGGGACTTTGCATGTCCTTTATATTTCGTCGTAAATAGATTGTGCATTTAGGACACCGTGAACATGAAACAAGGCGTTCGTTCGAAACAAAGCCACGCGTGGCTGGTTCTGTCCAATCAACAGTTACAATCGGAACGCCGCGTATATGAACGGCACGCGTTCGTTCATCAAGGGTACGCAGCATCAGCAATCTCCGTTCAAGAGATACACAATTTGGGGTTTGTTTTTTTGCTGTTGTTGTTGTTGAGAAAGAGTAAGGTACTCAACTTGTTCAAGGAAGAAAAAACTTCCACGCGGACATTTCGAGTCGAATAAGTGGATAGTGTTCCTCAGTGCGCAGCGTTTCTTTGATGTTACCCGCGGTTTGATTTTTTTTTTTGCTCGCGCTGAGGGTCAAAGCAATATAACGCTCCCTCGGTCTATTGAGTCTGAGTGCGGGTACGGTGTGTGTTACAGATGGTTGAGTTAGTGCGTAGATGTGCAGACAGAATGATAACACAGCAAAGTAAGAGCGGTGGAAGCTTAACCGTGTATTTGGACGTGCACCGAGACAGAGAGAGAGATTTAACAACACGCTGCATTATTGAGAGCCTGGCAAGACCCACTGCAAAGTGTAATCTTCCCACCAAACTGATGTTGTGACATGCCCATCCGTCCGTGTCAGCGGTGGGTGGCAGGGAGGAGGTCGTACGGATTATTGTTTATCGTGATTATCATCCTCACGCTT